TGACCCGATGCATTGATTGCCGTTGTGTGGGGTCGAGTGCTCGCGAGCATTGATTTCTGGGAGCGGACCGGGCCGAGTTGCGGTGCTTGTGCTTGCCTTCGCGCTGCTCTGCCCATTCTTCCCAGGACGTAACGGGCAAGTAGTGAGTGCAGTAAATCGTTGTTTTGCAGGTGCCGTAATGGATGCCGGTAAGAGTGGCACGGGCTCGGAGTCGGAAATCAGAGGATCTGTGCAGCGCGATGCAGACCAAGGACACTCCCGGGTAATCAGCTCATATTAAAATCGATCACTCAGATGGTTTCCGGTTCGGTCTTATCCTGCCAAAGGCTGTGTCCTGGATACATTTCGTCTCAGCTTTGTTGTTTCCAGGATTTCACAACAGAGGAGAAGTTGGGCTCTGATAGCGATCAGAATAAGCAAGCTGGAACGCGGCGATCCAGGCGCCCCATACATCGGAATAAGACGATAATCGAAAGTGGCAAGTCCTTGCAATTTAACTTTCAGCCTGAATACCGACGCATGCACTGTGGCAGCAAATGATCATTTGGCCAGGAAGCCCGCAATACTTCATTTTACAGTTTTTTCCTATTTCACAGTTAAGCAGTTGCTGGGATCCAGTAAAGCGGAACTCAGGACTGCATGATTCGCGCGCGGTAACAGCAACACACACGCACTTATATGAGAACCAAAAATTCCCGCATTAAAAGTATCGAAGTTGAGTCCGCATAAATGTGTTTGCATGAGTTCGAATTGAACGGAAGACGAGGGTTCTTTCTCTTCTTCCTGGATTGTTTCCCTAAATTAGTTGCATTATTACAAAAGACCCTAAACAATTGCAAAGTTGACAGGTTTACTTCTGATTTAAGACTTTTTGACAGCCTTTTTGACAACTGCCTCGTTCTAGAGTCACAGTATTTCGCTGAATTTAAATTTGGTGTCGCATTTCGAGATATTGAAAAGTTCGAAAATTGAGTCGTAGATCTCTGGTCCACATAATCGTTACAGTTAGGCCACACACACACACACAGGACGGTGCATGGAGCTACGGTTGGTGATGAATGAGATAGTCTTTGAGCTGATTCCGGATTTTTTGCCACATCAGCGTAGCCAGAATGTTATATTAAAATAATTGCTTTTTTGCTTCTCATCAGCCTGGGATTTGCGTGCCAGTTATTTTTTGATTGAACTGTTTGATCATCACCGACTTTTCTCGTCCGCTGAAACACGACAAACAAGCACGTATGCTGAGC